TTGATATACTATAATATCTGACTGGTTCTTAAACAAGTTTTAACTAGCTTTCTGTGTTTTAGCCTCCATATTCATCCACACTTTCAGAGGTACCTGGTACAACCATGGCTGGGCCTACTTAGGATTCTCTAGCACAGTAGTCTCTATTGTGGTCCCTGGATCAGCAATATCAGCATTCCCTGGCATCTTATGTTTTAACAAGTTCTTTAGGTCAGCAGCCCTAACCTTTTTAGCACCAGGAATCAGTTTCATGGAAGACAATGTTTCCACGGACCAGGGGTGAGGAGGGCATTAGACTCTCATAAGGAATGTACAACGTAGATTCCTCATATGCACAGTTTAGAGTTTGAGATCCTATGAGAATCTAATGCCATTGCTGATCTGACAGAAGGCAAGAGCAAGTGGTGATGAAGCAAGTGATGGAAAACAGCTGTAAATATAGATGAGGCTTCACTAGCTTGCTGGGTGCCACTTATCTCCTGCTGTGTGGCCCAGTTCTTAATAAGCTATTGAATAGGTACATACTGCTCTGCCAACCAGGCATTGGGGACCAGGGGTTGAGGACTACAGCTCTAAGTAATTCTGATGCACAGCAAAGCTTGAGGATCACTGCTCTAGTATAAATTGAGTTGGTTCTCAGCTTTCCCCACTGCTAGCTTAGGAGCTAGCTTTTCCAGGTCTATTAAGTCAGCTATCTCTTAAAAACGTTTCCACAATTTTTGTTGTTATTTTTTCCTCTCCAGTTTCCCCCATCTGTGTGAATTTCTATCTTTAAAAAAAAATCTCTTTATTGTAGTTTAAAGAGCAGGATCAGAAAAAGCAACATTAGATGCTTAATTTGCCATCTTTACCTAGAAATCTGTATTCACTCTTTAAGCATTTTCATTTCTAATAAGAATGCTGTTGTTAAAGTAATTGACTACTGTGTCACCAAAACCTGAGGATATTTAATTCTCACCTAATTAGAACTCTCAGGAGTTTCAGCCTATTTATTTCCACTTTGAAATACTCTCTTTTCTTGATTTTGGAATACCTGTTTGCCTTTACTTGACTTCTAAAGTTGCAATTCTTCAAGATGTGGACTCTCTAGGTAATTTTACCCATTCCTGTGGGATTACATACCATCTTTCTCTACCTTGATTTGTCTTTTGAATTACCGTCTTGTATTTAACAACCCTCTGGACATCTTCACTTGGATATTTCACATATATGTGAAAAGTAACATATCTAAAACAAGCCCATGCTCAAATTCTGCTCCATATTTTCTCTCTACTTCATAGATATGCTATGATACACTCAGTTGCTCAGGTGAAAAACTTTAGAATCATTCCTAACACTACTCTATCCTCAACCTTCACATCCAAACCATCAGTCAATTTTGTCAACAGTTCCTCAGTTTTTTATTCAGTATGTTCTTCTCCATCTACTGCATTCCAATTCTTCTCTGGACCTCTGCATCAGTTTATCTGTATCCAAAAATGCACCCTCCAATCCAATCTCCACATAAGAGTCAGATTACTCTTTTAGAAAGATTCATCCCATCATGTCACCCTCCTTCTTATAATCTGTCACTTGCTTCACACTGTACTTTGAATAAAAACTATACTCATTTAAGGTGCCTATCAGCACCTGCCCAATCAGGTCCTCTTGCCTCTTTCCCTCACTGTTATTACATTCCAACCAAATTGGCCTTTTCTATTCCTTTTAAAGAATTGAAAGCTTTAGGACCTTTGTACATGCTGTTCTCTTTGCCTGGAACACTCCCTCACTCCCTGTGCTTGGATAACTCCTACTATTCTTTTGTTTGTTTAAACAAACAAACTGGTTATTATGTCTTCTAGTACCTTGTTCTTTTTCTTCATAACACTTAAGACCGTCTGAATTTACTCTCGTGTTTAATGTCTACCTCCCTAAATGCTCCAGGTAGTAGGGATTATAATAGTTTTGTTCTCCATTATATATTCAGAACATGTAGCACACTGCCTGGCACAAAGTACTCATAAAATACTACATCCTTCAACAGAAGGATGACAAGAACAGACCTTGTCCAAGGTCTCATAGCAAATCAAGCAGCAAAGCCAAGATTCAAAATCGAATCTCCCATTTTCGATCTTTAAATTAACTTCATTTTTATGTAGTATTTCATACTTCCCACATTTATATAGGAAAGATGCTTTACGTAAAACTACTAAGTACTTTGGACACATTTTTTAAAATAGATTTTTTTCTTTGTTTTTTTAAAATTCAGAATATTAGTGGGTACATGTGTTTTGTTTACATACTTTGTTTTTATAGAGATTGAGTTGAAGTTTACTCAGAAAGTGTGCAGTGCACCCAATAGCTGTGAATTTATCCATCCCCTCCTCCCCCTTTCCTGATTGATTTTCATTGAAATTTACTTTCATATGTACACTTAAGTGGTGCTTGATTAGTTGCTTTGGGCACATTTTAGTAAATGTTCTACTGTATACATAACATTCTGAATAATATTGTTTTTTACATTAGATGATTTAAATAATAAAAAGTAAGATGGAACATATTAGACAAAGCTAAAAGAGAGTGTGCCTATGATAAACATATGAGAAAATACTTTCATTTCTGACATGGCAACAGTTAGAATAAAGTTAATAATTTTCTATGTTGTTGCCTGAAGGAGGAAACTCAACCGAAGAGGATCCTTCCTGGGTTGTGGTGGGGAAAGAAGGAAGAAAATCAGGTAGCTACCTCCAGACTGGACTGTCTTGCCAATCAGGAAACCCATGTTCAAGATTTAAAGACCAGCTCTTACTCCCTTCAAGACTAAATAATACCTATTTAATGCCTATCTTCAGTACTACTATCATATCTATATTATTTAACAAAATATTTTCATGTTTGAAACTAAATACTGACTAAAGTCAGTATTTGAAAGGAAACATTTATTGTGACTTTCACAAAACAACATTTACCAATGGACATATTCACTTGGAAATGAGAAATGGGAAGTCAGGACAATTATATTGTAATGATTTTTACTGAGGTAAAATAAACGCTTAACTTTAAGGTGAAAAACTGTGGTTAATGTTATTTTAACTTCAAATATTAACCTCAAAAAACACCAACTATAAATGACTCAATATCCTATTTGTGTTAATTTGAGCAAGTCACTGTTTTTTTGTTGTTGTTTGAGACTGAGTCGCACCCTCTTACCCCAGAGAGAGTGCAGTGGCTCACGGCAACCTCAAACTCCTAGGCTCAAGCAATTCTCCTGCTTCAGCCTCTCAAATAGCTGGGATTGCAGGTGCGTAACATAACGCTCAGCTAATTTTTTCTAGTTTTGGTATCAACAGGCCTCATTCTTATTTAGGCTGTTCTTGAACTCCTGGCCTTGGCCTCCCAGAGTGGTAGGATTAAAGGCATGAGTTACTGTATCTTGTCAACTCTGCTGAAACCATGGTGGCTTATCTGGCCACAACTTCACTCCTATCTTTTAATTTATTTATTTCTTTTTTTCTTGAGACAGATCTTTAAGCTGTTGCCCTGGGTAGAGTGCCATGGCATCATAGGTCACAGCAACCTCCAACTCCTGGGCTCACGCGATTCTCCTGCCTCTACTTCCCAAGTAGCTGGGATTACAGGCACCTGCCACAACGCCAGGCTATTTTTTGGTTGCAGCCATCATTGTTCTTTGGCAGGCCTGGGCTGGATTCGAACACGTCAGCTCAGGTGTATGTGGCTGGCGCCTTAGCTGCTTGAGCCACAGGCACCAAGCCTCTTTTAATTTCTTTATAGCTTAAGCATTTATAATTCTCTAATGGAATAAAAATTAATTTGTAAAGATTTATGAGTCTCTACTTTGTGCCAGTCACTATTCTAAGTGCTAAGAATTCAGCCTATATTTCACTGGAGAAAGACAGATATTAAACTAATAAATAAAATAATCTCAGATGCTGAGGGCTTTGAAGGGTGGGTTAAGAACAGAGGACAAAAAAGATATAGTCAGTCAGAAAAGGTCTCTCAGAGGTAACTTTTAGAGATAAGACATAAATGACAAGAAACCAGACAAGAAAAGATCTGGAAGAAGGCAGTCTATATGAACTGTTAAACCCCCAAACAGTGTTTTTCAAACTGCAGATCCTGACGTATTATTAGGGGACCATGAAATCAATTTAGTGGGCTGGGACCACATATCAAAAAATATCAGAATACATCACATGAAATACAACTTTTGTTTTGAGTGGTGCCTGTGACTCAGTGGGTAGGGCCCTGGCCCCATATACCGAGAGTGGTGTTCAAACTCAGCCCAGACCAAACTGCAACACAAAAATAGCCAGTTGTTGTGGCATGTGCCTGTAGTCCCAGCTACTCGGGAGGCTGAGGTAAGAGGATCACCTAAGCCCAGGAGTTGGAGATTGCTGTGAGCTGTGACACCACAGCACTCCACCGAGGGTGATAAAGTGAGACTCTGCCTCTTGAAAAAAAACAAAACTTTCGTTTCAGTTATGCATATATTTATATAAGTGTGTGTACATATGCTCTCATATGTATGTACACATGCCTACATGAGTCACAATGTTAAGTGTAATTTTTACTATAGTGAGGTCAAAAAGTTTGGAAGCAGCTGAGGTAGGGGGACCAGCCTGTTTGAAGGCCTTAAGGCCACAAAGAGATTTATGAGTAGTAGGAATAAAAACAAGGCAAGCATGATTGAAGAGCGCACTGGGAACGATGGTGTAAAATGAAGTAGGAAACAAAATTTCCCTACATATACCTTTAGCCAAGCATCCTAAATCTGGAATGCCACTTCTGCTTTCATTATAGGTCATCCTTAAGAGACAACATGGAAGATCATCTCTCTGGTTTAATGTCCCTTTGTAAATTGTCACTAGCACAATTTAACAGTTACACTGATGTGCCTGAAGATAATCTCTAAGCTAAGAATGGAATGCATCTTATAGTCAGAATGTATTATTTGTATAATTAAAACATGAAAAAGAAAACCAAGTTCATAGAACTATGGGGAAGTCTGTTAGTTCATTTTAGACCCTCCTTACATGGAAAAAATTTCATGTTAGTTGGTAGTTTTTAGTTTTGCAAGTCCTTTGGTTATAAACCCACAAGGGAAAGATACAAACAGACCACTTAAGTCAAATGCATAGAAGAAAAAAAAAAATCCAGTGACTGAGAATGTAGATGTGGCTGTTCCATTAAGTCCCTAAATGGCCTCACAATTTATTTAACCTCTCTGGGCCCTCTTAATCCTTATATGTAAAAAAGGTGAAATAGGTGTTCAATAAGATCTCTTCATACTGTTAAATCCTGTGATTCTAAGTAATGTTAGAATCATTTACTATTTTAAACGTTGAAAAAAACCTATTGGGTAATAAATTCTGTTGGTGGTGTCTGAAAAAAAATTAACCTAGCATTTTATTGGATTTTTTTTTTTTTACAAAAAGTAAATTACACGATATACAATGAAGATACTGTCCTTAACTTAAACTTGACGGTGTCTAAAGAACTGTAAGACAAAACCAAAGTTATCTCGGGAAGTTTATGTTGTGCTGAGGTTGTTGCTCTGTACTTTGGAACTATGTGGCATTTTCGTATCCTGAGATCGGTATCTTGATAAATACAAACTTTCTAAAAGGAAAGTCTAAGCCTCAAATCAGGTGTCAACTCCAGTTTGACAAAGACTTCCAAGGAAAGGTAAAGAGAAAGTGAGTTGACAGCACAACTCACCTACAAGCTCTCCAATCATGAAAATCAAGTAAAGAACAGCAGCAATGGTCAACCTGGTTTTCACCTTTCTCAGCTTCAGCAGCTCTCGCTGTCTGCTGCAGTTGTCACAGGAATCCACCTTCAAACTCAGCTGACTGTTGGTCAAAGGTAAGTCCTGGTCCAATAAGGAATCATCGTCGGCCTGGAGGGCCGGGTGCGCCCCGTTTATAGGCCTTTCCAGGGTTTCAGAACCATCGTCGGCCACCACAACTCGAAGTTTGTTAAACCGAGAAAGCCCCTCGCCCCCGACCTCATCCGAGAAGTCGAAGGCGCTGGTGTCATTTAGGAACAGCGGCGCATCATCCCTCCTCAGCAGAGATTTGAGGCGCTTCCACGCGCCGGCCCCGGCCATGGCAGAGGCTGAGCGGCCGCGGCGCGGAACGGCTCGGTGCAGGCGGACAGTCGGCGGCGACTACTTCACGGGAGCCCCGGCTCCCAAGGGCAGCGCCGCGCGTCCCTCCTCATCCTGCGGAAAACGAAACACGTTATAAATTAAAGGCGCCCAGACACTGCCCTAGGTTCCGAAGGCTCCCGGAGACAGAACGCAGGGCGGGCCCCGAGGCTCAGCCGGGGCTCCGCGAGGGGGCGGCGCGTGTACCTGGGGCGCCGCCGCGGGGCCGCCGCACATCTCCCCGCCCTCTGCCGGCTCGTTGGGGCCGGCTCCAGCTGCTCCCCGGGCCGCGGGGCCGTGCTCGCGCCCGCCGCGCCCGCCGCACCCGCCGCTTGAGGCCGGCTGCCAGGTCTGACAGGTCTGGGGCCGGGCGGCGGCGGCCACTGCCTCTCTCCGCCCTGCGCGAGGCCGCGCGCGTGCGCCCGGCGAGGCGCGCGAGGGAGGGGTCGGCGCGAGGACACGCAGGCCCGCCGCGCAGAGCCGGGG